GTCACAGAAATCCGAGATGGAAGACCAAATGTAAAACATTGGAGTTGCATCAAATTTTTTTATCATTCAACATGTCAATATTCACCTTGCTCCAGGATATGTCTGGAAGTATATTCATATTTATAATACTGACTAAATCATCACTTATTGGCATTGAAAGTCAGAAACTTAGTATCAACAAGAAGTTGGAGATCAAAAATCTGGAGAAAGATCTAAGTATAATTTATAACATAATATATATAATATATGGAGCAGTCATGGTTTGCCATTTATATCGTCACAGTTTGAACAAAATGAAATAAAACAAAAGCACAGAAACCTTTATAAATGTTTCAGGCTTTTTTTTTTTTAAATCAGTTTGATTTTCAAACAAGTTTGGCATATTTTTTTAAATTCTAAATTCAGTTTGTTTGTCTATTTTTTAAACTGTCTGTCTTAAAAAATGTAATAAAACGTAATAAAATCATTGTGAGGAATAAAATTCCTCACAGTGGGACTATAATACCATCCTACAAGCATAGCAACCAGAAATGTCAGCACTACACATATTTTCCTTTTTAGTATTTTCTTGTGGTTTCAGAATAAGTCAGAGCAAAAGAAAAACAATTCATCATGCTCTTCCATTTGACATTTCGTGGCTCAGGCGTGCCAAAACAAAGCAAGTACTGGTGGCGCAAGATATCCTTGTCATGGCACACAGCTTGACAGTGATGACAATGGCCTGAGTCACACCCATGGCACTGATTGGGTAGTCATTACCCCCTCACAAGGCAGTAATTGGATCGATTGCTTATTCAACAGAGAAACTGCTGTTTCATTCAGTATGCCAGATGAATCAGTCAACGTGGTGGGTTGGACAGATTCAAATTCGGACGAGGACCATCCTGCTTTCTAGATTGGAAGAAGAGAAGAGAGTGATGTAAGATCATAGACTATGTGTGCATTTAAATACACATAGACTATGTGTATTTAAATGCTTTAAATACACACATAAGTCATTCTAAGTACTATGGCAGCACATTTTAGAAACAGTTTAGAACATGGGTGGGCAATTCCAGGCCTCGAGGGCCGGTGTCCTGCAGGTTTTAGATCTCACCTTGGGTCAACACACCTGAATCACATGATTAGTTTGTTACCAGGCCTCTGGAGAACTTCAGGACATGTTGAGGAGCTAATTTAGCCATTTAAATTAGCTTTGTTGGTTCAAGGACACAGCTAAAACCTTCAGGGACACCGGCCCTTGAGGCCTGGAGTTGCCCACCCCTGGTTTAGAACATTTTGAGGTAGATAAAACAGGAAACTATTGCAACATTTAATGGCACTTAGAGTAGTAGCCTTACTGTGAGAAAGTGCATTCATCACCACCAACACTGAACTAAAAAATTTTTTTAAAAGCACGATAAATTGTGCATCTGTTCATTTGTTGTTTAAAACTGTTTTGTTGTAAACCAGTGAAAACCCAGCGGCTAGATTGAAGCTTGTCACTTATGGACTTCCCCAGCATGTAGCCATCTATCTCATCTTCTACCAGGTCATATGTTAATCCTGGGTGTTTTTCAAACTCATTGGTAGTCACTTCAATCACTCACCTGGAAGTTGAGAAAACTTTCAGACTCGGTCCCTCACACTTTCTGTCCCCATGGTTATTTCACCCGTAGTCACTGGAAGCCATTGAAAGTGATTAACTTTCTATGGTTTCTGGTCACCGAATCGCTGAAAATCACTTACAGTGTGTACACAGCTTTAGTTCTACCACCATATTCAGAATCACTTTCGTTCATCTTTAATAATTTTAGGTCAAATTCTGATTATAAGTTAAATATATATATATATATATATATATATATATATATATATATAATATATATATATATATATATATATATATATAATTCTTAACACATGATCTAACTTCCTTGTTTTTTTCCTTCCTTGAGAGTCTCACAATAGGTTTGCCACATCGGCCTGAACTTGACTATATGAACAACTTTGGATTAGATTTCCATTAAAAAACAGGCACATTCATTGATAAATCCATCCATCCATCTTCTTCCACTTATCTGGGGCCGGGTCATGGGGGCAGCAGAGAAGCCCAGACCTCCTTCTCCCCAGTCACCTCCTCCAGCTCGTCCAGGGGATAAATCCTAACTATTCTTTTTCTCATCCCAAATTGATCGTTTTGGCTTTTGGTGAAATGTCTCAAAAAAAAAAATATGGTAGATGAAGAGTTTTCATCTGGCACCATCATCAGGTCAGAATTTTGATTCATACAGTAGTTTGATTTATGTTTGAACACCTGCAAAACTAAAACAGCTGAGTGTTCTGGGTTCTGCGAGTTACTTTTTTTCTATCCAAGATCAAAGAAGAATATTTTAATGTGACTTGAAGTAGTTGTTTGCTTTGTTTAGGACTTTTGTATTGGGTATTGTTAAAATCACAACCTGCATTGGTTGCCTTGACGTCTAATCTCATGTTGCATGGTCTGACACCACGTAGAAGCAGTGTATGGTATGAAACAGTTTCCATCTGCCTCTGCCACTCTTTCTCCCAAGGTTAACTGCCTTTCTTTGGCCTTGTGTAAAACCAACCTTGAACACTGAACCCGTTTTATGGTATATATAATTACCAAGTCGAAGCAGTGAAGCTGCACAGTTAATTGAACTCATGATTTAGTGTAAGAGTGTAAAGACACATGGTGTGCCTCAAGAGGTGAACCACATTGTAGAAACTTGACAGGTCAGCCTTGTCACGGTTAGTCTTTTCCATGTGAAGGTTTTCAGATTGAATGGGATGTACCCATGTGTAATATCACATCGGCCAATATCTCATCAAAGCTGACAAAGACGTGTAGTTGACAGGGTGCTCTCTCTTGAACTTTGATTTGATTCGTACAGACTAGATATTTTTCTATAGCTGTCACAGCAAAGCAACGAAAGTAAGTGTCAAAAGAAGGTTTGTGCAAATATATGTTTTCTAAATCAATGACTATGTTTCCTATTCCTATTCAGACTCATTGTTTCTGTTTCTCCTCATGCGTCTCTCCAATGACAGTTGCACAATGCAAACAGCGTGGTCTGTCCGCGTATGCTGTCCTGGGGCAAGGGCTCAGTTCAGTTCGGGACAGTGCTGCCTTGTTCCTCTCACATTACTGTGCTTAGTTACAAAACAAGCTGATGGCATGGCTTTAGTCAGGGTCAAACACTGTTGTCCATCTCTATATATCAAATTCCATGTTGGCAGCAGAGAACTATGATTTAGCTCTCATAATAGCTCTGTGCTGGTGGGGGATGCATGTACAGTACAAGGCACTTTTCCAAAAATGCTTAACAGTCAGTGACCGTCATTTTATGGCTTTGAATTTCTGCCATCATGTGTTTTTTTCTGGGTTCCTGCCCCACTTCCATTATCAGAAGCACAGCTATGGCGTGACAAATAAGTTCACATATGACAGATAATGACAATGAAAGAGTAAATCAATGTATCAGTGTCAGGCTGTAGTTATTACATTTGCATGGAAATGCTTGTTGGTATGGTAAGAGTTAATGAGCAATGTTTTGATAACCGTGAGAGCTTTCCATTTACATTCCCCATACTAGCAGATTATAACCAGTAATGGGTCCTCCTGGACAATCCCTGAGACACACCCTCTATTAGAGCAATTATTGTGCCCTGGTGTACTGAAAGGCTTTGCTTTTTGGTAGTTCTGATCAATTCTGATTTGTTATACTGGTCCCTTTACAAATTGTTCTCTATTCTAAAAGTAGAAGAGCTTTCATATTGAGTTTCTTGGTCATATGATGTAATACTGTTACATCAGATAAGCAAAGTATAATGACTTTATATATTTCCACATTTGAAAACACTACTCCATTCTACTAAAAATAGGTCAAGTAGAAAAATGAACTCACAACTGTTCAACGTGGGCACAGACAGGAAATTTAATGAACCCAGTTGTTAGAAACCAGTCAATACAAATGCACCACTGCAAAACAAGCAGTGTTTGCAAATGACTCCATCTCAGTTTATGTTTAGATATTTGGCTGATTGGTGTTAACATTGCCAAGGTTACTCTACTTTGCTCCAATGTCATTTCTGTTTAAAAAATATTTTTTCATTGCTATGAGCCCTGAGTTGGAGCCTCAGAAAATGTTCCAATTATGCAAAGAGGGCACAAGCTTATTAGTTTTGAAGGGTATGAACTGGGCTTGTTTTGTATAATGTCAAATGCTCAGACAGTGTTGTTTTAAGAGGACCAGAAGTTTGTCAACAATTAGTTATACTTTAAAAATGAAAATGGGCGATCCCTTTTAAGGGTTGACTAAATCTTATCATTATAGTTTCTACCTACCCAGTCCATATATTTTTATGAGTTCATGTCTGGTTTTGGTGTTGAGAATGATTTATGTTTGATTTCATTTCTTTTGTAATACTTATTAATTTAGTTGGTTTTCTATTTGTTTAATCATTGGTTTAGTTTAATTCCTTGTCTATATGTCCTTTTTCTGTGGCCCTTTATGGTTTTTGCTTTGTTGTATTGCTATTTGCTATTATTATTGTTATTATTTTTATTATTATGCTTTTACTTAATTCCTTATTTGTGTTCCTTTCTGTTCTAGTCTTACATTTATCCTTTGCCTTTCTTTGCTCATCCCACTGTTCAGCAATGTCTCACTTCCTGTTTTATTTTGGCGGCTGTTGCATTCTGTGCCATGTGTTGAGTTCCACTTCCATTGTCATGTACAAATAAAACCTCAAAGACGGTCAGGTATTGCGTGGCTTCCTAGGGCACACATATGTCTGTGAAGGTTCTCAGTCATCCAGGTCATCGTAGTCAAAGGAGCTTGCAAAGAAAAGCGTCTGGACTTCTTTAAGTTGCTTAAGTTGTTTCACCTCTCATCGCCTCAGATGAGAGGTGAAACGTCTTCAAGCAACTTAAATTCAATTCAATTCAATTCAATTCAATTTTATTTATATAGCGCCAAATCACAACATAAGTCGCCTCAAGGCGCTTCAAAGAAGAAGTCCAGAGGCTTTTCTTTGCAAGCTCCTTTGACTAGGGCACACATAGGCACAAGAATAGGCGAGTGCCTAGAGGAAGACAGAGAAAAGACCCACACATGCACACACACTAACAGAAAGAGAGAAAACAACAAAGAGAAACAAAATTTTAAAAAAGCAGGCCAGCGTGAGATACTCCGGGACATCCCCCCATCTGTGTTGCCCCCTATGTTACCTCTCTTCTTGTTATCTTGTGTATACATCACCTGAGTCTCCCTTTGTCTTTTGTTGTGTTGTCTGCATTTCTGTGGGTTTCCTTTGTGTTCCCTGAGATTTCTGGTATTTGGAGTCCCTGACGCTGTTCTGTAAATGTCTGGAAATCTTTTGCATATATCTTCATATCTTTTAACTAAGCTTAAAAAGCAGATTTTTGAGTCTAACTGTTGCATTAGTTAGACAGAAAAATATAACATTTAGATTTTGTATCCAAAGATCATACTTTCTATTCCCTACGATTCTAGTCCATATTTTAAAGCCTTAGTTACTTATTAATTCACATATAAATTGTATTGTTATAGACTAAGCTACCCAGCAACACATAATTAAAATCAACTGCAGCTGCAACATTAGTGAAGCCATAATTATGATCATGTATTTGAACAAATGTCATTCTACATAATGAGCATGTGTACTTTCTGTACCTTAAATACACCGAACAGACATAACATTATGATTACTGAAAGGTAAAGTTAATAGCACTGATTATCGCTTCATCGTGGTTAGGGGGTGGGATATATTAGAGAGCAAGAGAAATGTTGTCCTCAAAGTCGTATGTATTAGAAGCAGGAAATATGAGTAGCTGTTAGGATTTAAACAAATTTGCCAGAGGCTAAATTTTAATGGCTAGAAGACTGGGCTGGAGCGTTTTCAAAACTGCAGCTCTTGTGGGGTGTTCCCAAGTCTGCAGTGGTCAGTATCTATCTAAAGGTGATCCTATGAAGGGACAGCAGTGACCCAGGGACAGGATCATGGGTGGCCAAGGCTCACTGATACACATGGGGAACAAAGACAGGTCTGTGTGGCCAGATACAACACACGAGCTATAGCTCAAACTGCCAAAAAAGTTAATGCTGGTTCTGATAGAAAGGTGTCAGAATACAAAGGTCATTGCAGTTTGGGGATGCATATCTGCAGGCCAGTCAGGATGCTTATGCTGACCCCTGTCCACTGCCCAAAGCACCAACAGTAGCTAAGAGTACATCAGAACTGGACTGCAGTGCAAAGGAAGAAGCTGGACTGATGAATGATGTTTTGTTTTACATTATGTGGCCGAGTGCATGTGCGTTGCTTACATCGGGAACCATGATGCACTATGGGAAGAAGGCAAGCCGGTGGAGACACAGTTTGGGCAATGTTCTACTGGAAAACTTGGAGTCCATGCCTTGACAGGCCAGGGCTCTTTTGGCAGCAAAAGAAGGACCAATATGATATCATAATGTAATAACAGTCTACAGACATACATTTTAGACTAATTAGTGACTCTAAATTGGCTGTCGGTTTCAATATGAGCATGAATGGTTGTCTATCTCTGTGTCAGTCCTATTCAGACTGGTAGCCTGTCCTGTGTATACCGCGTCTCTCACTGCATGACAGCTGGGATAAGCTCCAGTACCTCTATGATCCTGAATTTGATAAGCAGAAGAAAATGGACGGATGAATTTAAGAAAAGGCAGAAGAAATGAACTGGTAAGAGTTATTATTTTACACATTTTACTGTGCCTAAGTTAAAACTAGAACCATAACTATCAGAGCCATAACAAAAGCATCCATCTGCAGGTATATCGCCTTGACAGTGGCTCACAAATCAAATGAGATAAGGTTTGTGTCTCAGTTTAATTTTTTGTTGTTGTTGTTGTTGTTTATTTGGCAGTCTTTCAAAGAAGACCTTCGGGTAGCACTCTGTGGAGTTCCTTAATTTACTTTCGTCTCAGTAAGTGAACCTGAGAAGACATTTGAGTCCCTTAAAGGGGACACCAATTAAATCATTCTTGATGGTTTATTGTTTACTACAAAATCTTTTTTTTTAATTATTATTTTACAGTTGACATCAGTGGTACAGCTTCCTCAATTATGTCTGTAGGTTTTAACGTCAAATTTAAAAATATAAATTTGTAATTCTTTTTCATAAAACATAATCTGATAATCTCAGGCAAAGTAAAGAACTGAATCAAATCAAAATACAGAAAGTGCGACACTTGCCTAAAGTGGGTTAGATAATTGATGCGCTTGTGGTAAATGTTCTAAATGTTTGTTACTATTATTCATAGTTGAAACAATAAAAAAAATAGTTAAGTAAGTTGTAGTAAGTTTATACCGAAATAGATGTTTGGTTTATGGCCACTTATGTACTTTCTTGCGTTTGCCAGATCGGTCTTTGGAAATTTTCAGTAAATCAATATCTAAATATAAATACACAGCATCACTTTTCAAAGTACAAGATTTTTAGTAGCGCCTTCTGACATCCGTTCATCCTCTAAGGCTTTTCGACCAATCATATTTCAGCAGACTTTGCTTGCATGCAGGTAAACATTTCACTTGGAGAGTTTTAGCCAAAATTCAGTTTCAGAACCTCTGGCTATTGTCTGATGAGTATTTTGCATTTCTTTTTTTCTTTATTTAAATTTATCTGCATTAAAAACATTAACTGGAGTTGAAGATATTCACTGGTTACATCAGAAACATAAAAATACTGGTCACTGTCCCCAGAGGCTAAGCCATCAGACCGGTCGATGTATCCATCTACAGTCTCACCACTGCTGGTGTGTCCTCCAATGTCACAATGGCATTAATTAGTGCAGAAGCACAAGCTCACAAAGAAAACTTTCCTTTTTGGTGGCAGGCATGATTAGGCCACAATTTGTCAACTACTTGTTATGCTTTTTTATGTAATATATAGCCTGCACAAATGCACACCCATGCCATAATGTTGTTTTAAATAGCTACTTTGCTATTGATAATTCATCATTCTACTAAATCACAGCAAAAAATGTAAATGACAAAAAGCAACAACTGTTATTTGGAAGCAGATTAATTGCAGTCCATTAAAGGCCTCCATGCTCGAGTAGGGTGACAAATGGACCTATTAGGCACTAATTAGGCTTAGATTAAGTCAAAGGGAAGTTGTGACAGAGTGATGGTTGCACTTCTACTGTGAGAAGAAACAAAGTGCATAACTAGTTATGTATGTATATGTATATTTTCAGGCCTCAGTGCTTGTTTTATGTCCATCATAAATACAAATGTTTCCAAACATACCAGGGAGGTCACATGATAACACTAAGCTCCACCACAATCACTGATATGTTTTTCTGTGCCTTGGTTGAACCTTGTTCATTTCACAAGTTGAATAACTACGCGGACGTGTGAAGGGTGTACTACGAAGCAAGATTAATGGGTTAGTGGGCTACGTTGAGCTTGAAATAGCAGTTTTTTGAGTAGTGAAAGTGACTCTTTTTTATGTAAATCAATATGGTAACTTATGCTGAACACAAAACCTGGTCATTAGCAAAGTAATGATCAGAGTTTCAGCTTAAAATCATCTAGAGCATCGTGCTTTCACTCACTTTTATTTACAGTGTGCTTTAAGTGAAATAATCCTATAGATTATGCAGAGGACAAATCTGTTTTATATTTGCAAGTAGTTAAACCGGCTACAAGATGAATAAAGCCCAGCTGTAAAGTTACAGAGGCACAAACTGTGCATGGCATTGTCACTGGCATTTACAACTATTCATTTGGTAATGGAGAAAACGTAAACCAATTTTATACTAGAAAGGTGGTTTTTGCACTTAAATCTAGAAGCTTTAAATTTTTAGGGAACATAAAAAGCAAATAAATAAATAGAATAAAATTGTTATTTACCTTACTTGCTCTTTGAATTCATGGCTAACTCTTTTTTTAAAATGTAAATCCCCACATGCCCTACATCCCTTTTTTTTTAACTCAAGGTAAAAAAGTAGTGCTGACAATTAAGATTATTTATTTATTCTAAAGTTATTTAATGAAAGCATAGAAGAGTTTTTCTGGAATATACAACTGATGTTTTTACTTCTAATTTGGTTTTACCCTGACAGGATGATTCGGAACACTTTTGAAGTGTGGAAAAATGATCTTTTCTATTGCAGTACCTATGCCAAATGAGACTATTTAGAAATGTTTCTGCTGCTGAAGTGGTGCAGCTGTGCAGTGTGGTAAAGTGGCGTTGCCTTCAATGAGACTGCCTGCAGGAATTCATTATCTTGAAAGCTAGCGTGGCAAAGACCATGGGCAGGTGGTATGGGTAATTTCACATTTCTCCTGTGCCCTGTGAAGATGCCACTTTGTGTTACCTCTCTGCAGTGGAAGAGCACATTGGCAAGGTCTATCCAACTGTCCGTACATCTGAAATGAGCCAGTGTTGATAGCCATCTGATTAGACGAGGAGCTGAAGTCCACTGCAGTAATCAATCTTCACTTTTTAACTGTAACTCAGACCACAACCTTGTTACACCAACCACTTTACTGTTGGCTCTCTGGCTTCATAAAGAATTAAGATCACAAACTTGCAAACACAGTAAGACATGTCGTTGAAGGTATTACAATCACCTTTAATTTATAATCTCATGCTGCAGTTCCAACAGGCATCTGGAAAACATGTGGAGTGGTCTGAGCCATATTGATCTCATTTCTCAGCACTCGAACCATCTAACTGGGGTCACTGGACGCTAACCAGAAAGGACGCTCTTTTAACACTTTGTGTGTGAACTGATGTAAAAGAAACAGAAACTCAGAGCACTGGGTTGTGAAGAGTTACCCAGATGTAGAGCACTTAAAAATAGCTTAAATCTGCCATAGATCGTTATCTGAACCTTTATTTTACTTTATTTTCAAATATAGATATATTTTTGGGGTACTTGGTTGGTAGTATGTATTCATTATAAACTTTGGGTGAAAGCAGTGGAAGACTTTTGAGCATTCAGATGTTGCTTTTCACAAAATCAAAAAATACAGAATAGCATTCGCCTTAACATCCATCACAATGAAACCATATG